CATTCCTGGATGACATTCATTTCTTTTGTCTTTCTTGGACTCCACGGTGCCTCACAAGGATGCAATTAGAGGGTGGTAGTGGATAGTGTTTGATGTCTTTTGGGCCACTTTCACCCCTGGCTGGGGGTTCTTGTCTGTTGTACATCTCCAAAAAGCCACAGTGGCCGTGCAGCCTCTGTGGTGTGTGCTCTGTAGTGCATCAGCCAGCCCAGCTGAGGAGCTTGGGTATATTGGAGAGGATGTTTGGCTGGCCAGGACTCCTCCACAGAGCACACTGCAGCTACACAGCCACAGTGTGATATTAAATTGCTTGAGCAGCTTTCCCTGTTGTGCTTTTTCCTGTGAGCAATAGGCTGTGAGTAGGTGGGACCAAGATAAAACTGCTCCAGTGGCTTCTTCTGGAACCTTCCTCGCTGCCCCTGGGCAGAGAGTCCTTATTTTCATGTGGGTGGTCAGGCAAGCAAACAAGTACCTACAGTTAGGTTTGGAACTCTGGATGTTGGCAGTGCCTTGTTAACCTCTGGATCTGCTGTCTCCCCAGTGCAGCCCAGTCCTATTCCATTCAGGGGACAAATTTCTCGTTATTCTGTTGGAAATGTGAGGTTTTTTCCTTAGGTTTTGGGTTTTTTGGTAGGTTGTTGGTTTTTTACCTTTGCTCCCAGGCTTTTCTCTTGATGATTACAAGGACTTTTCTGGTTTAATTGCCAAAATATGACACGTTCCCTGTAAGCAGCATCCTGACAGACTTTAGGTGGGCTGGTAAAGCCTTTGGAGTTGATCCCAAAAGCTGTGCATCTCTGCAGTTTAGGAATGATGCATGCATATTTTTCTAACAAACACAAATGGTATATTTGCTGCATAATCCCATCACTGGAAATGCAGTAAATTACCAGGAGGCTGTTACTACAGTCCTTGCTGTTCACAGGACTCCCCTTGGAATCAAAGGATGGAGGGTCCTGGATTTGGCATGTGATGTCTGCACAGGGTTATTTACACACATATTCACATCTGGAAAAATGCATTTCAACTAAAACACAGCAATAGATATTTAAAAAGCCCCTGAAGTCATACTTGGAATGAAATGAAATGAAGATAAGGACTTCACTCCACTGGAAATGGTGAAGACTGTAAGGCTTGAGGATCTTCTGGATGGTCCCTGCCCTCCAGCTGCTCTCAGATCCTGTAGATATCAGGACAAATTGCTGCTCCTGTTTGAAATTCATCAGAGTTGTGCTGGTGGAACTGAAGTTTAACACCAGGATCAGAAGCAGCTTTTTATGGCAGGATTGCATCTAGTCCATGGTTGTGAGCATGAACAAGTCCCTGCTCAGCTTCTTTGTTGCAGTGGAGGGAGATGGTGGACTCCTCACTGTCCTTGTTGGGTGTTTGTTTTGGTTTCTTTTGCTAGAGTTGTTCTGCTTTCTATAAATAACTACTGGAGCAGAGGCTGCAGCTACTAGCCCTGCACTGAGTTGCCCTAACCGTGGGCTGCTCTTGGTGTATCCTGGCTTGGGAAATTATTGCTGCAAGAGCTTAGGTTTGTGATGATAAGGAAAGGGGAAGAATGTGTGAACTGTCTGAAAATGCTTGCTGTGAGCTGGGAAAGTAGCACAACTGGAGCCCTGACTGCCGTGGGAGCTGCCACAGAGCCACTCCTGTTCTGGGCCAGATGCTGGGAGAGGTTACCCAGAGCATTTTGCAGCTTTGCAGGATACTCCTTTGGGCAAGGTGCCTGACAGCTGCCCAGAGTGTGCTTTTCTGTACAAAAGCTCTGGAGATGTTGAAGCACTGCTGTTGACAGCGTGATGGGAAGTCAGTCCCTGCAGAGCAGCGTTCCCCAAGGCGTGAGCCCGGCAGAGTGTGTCTGTTGTAGGATGTGCATCATACAGCATGAGTATTTTCCCACTGCTGCACATGAATCTTAATTTATACTGTATTTAAACACCCATGCTAGAAGGCTGAT